CAGAGAACACTTATGAGATCGAGGAAGAGGATTATCCAACGCGAAACGAAACCGACATCATGCAGACGGACGAGATGCAAGGTAGTATGTCCTATGTTCATGATACATCGGAAAACGAAGATAGTATGCAGAATGATATCGAGGAGAACAGTGATGTGCAAAAACAGTAGGACATGAGTGCCAAAACAGAGGAAGCATCTAGGATAATAAATCTGTAATAAAGTGTAAGATAATTAATATGAAATTAAGATCCTTATAAAAAGAAATTACATACATATGTACCTTGAAAAACGAATATTGTATAGTAGAATAAGCTTATAGCTTATAGCTTTGGAGGATTTTTAATAGACTGCGTAAAAAGGGAGAGAAAGAAGGAGAGGGAGGAGAGAAAGAAAGAGTAAATTACGACAATTTCCAATGGAAAACATTTTGTTTTCATTGATCTGCCAGGGGCTTTGCATTCATTCACTTGCGCGATGTTGCAAGCTTCCGATTAATCGTTTCGAAGAATAATACGATTTTGAATTATTAAGCAATGTACTATATATATATATATAAGACGTTATTTAGATTATTATAAAAGCTATAATTTACAGTATCTTTTTTTAGTTTCCGATATTTAATAGATATCAATGGTTCTTTACGAAGTACCATTTATTTATATCGGTAACACTTTTTTGACAATAATATGCTCCGACTATTCATGTGAAATGCCATCCATTAGACAATAGGTCACGAATTTATGAACTTAATGATCATGAAAGTCCTGTCATTGATGTTAGGAGGATCAAAATCTACAAATCACATTACAATCATTTCTTTTCTCAAACTGTATAATATTTTTTTTGTAAGTAACGATTTTAATCATTTAAAAGATGCATACAGAAAGTAAGAGTGTTAATTAAAAAAAAAGCCTAAAGTGAACATTAAAAGAATAAATGTCGAATAAAACGCGTTATTTCTAAAATTGACATTTGTACGCGATCACGCAAATATCTAATTTCTCCAATTAAAATTTTTCAAATCAACTTGTGTTTTTCTGTGCAAATTGATTCGGTTAGCAAATGATGACAGAACTATACTAAAATCGAATTAGATGCATAAAAAAAGTCGGATATATTATAACAAAGAAATACTACTACGTTTTATGTCAAGATTTAATATCCTATCTTTCAGGATTCTTTTTCTTAGTGTAATGAAAAAGAAGTATAATGCACACTCGCTATATTTTTTATGGAAGTGAAGAAAGAAATAAAGGAATTAATGTGAATAATAGCTTTAAATGATCAATCTGTACAGTTACGTAATGCGAGCGTGTTTGTACATGAGCGAGTGCATGAGTGTATGTCAAATACAGATGTGACTGAAGACTTATATATTAAAGAAAAAAAGCGTACCTCGTACAAATATTTACAATTAGTTGAGATTAATGCGATGATAATTGCTTTGTATTATATTATAATTTAACCATCTTGCAGATTTTCTCAATTATTCAGTCGAATGTTTTCAATTAAGAATCGAACATCAATGGAAGAGAGAATCGTTTAGATTGAGATTTTTTTTAATCTCGCACTTTTTATAGGCGCGTACTGACAAAAAATTAGACAAAAAAGTTGAATTTTTAGAGATAGCATTATCAATTTCTAACATGTCATCAGCGATCTCTGTTTTTCCTTATTATTTATTATATTCATTCCAAAGTAATTTCTAAGATACATTAGGCTCTTTATGAAGGAAAACCACTGATTTGCCATCCGTATTATGCGATTGTATGTGAACGATCTACTTGATATTGCAGAGGAGGGGAAGGAGAGGTAAAAATTGGAGGGTTGACGCTCATTTAGAAAAATATTAAAATATCGTAAATATGAAAATTCATACTATCTTTAAATATTATGATTTTTAAAGAAGTGTATATATTATACATACATATATCTATATATACGTATGTGTGTGTGTGTGTTTGTGTGTGTATATGTGTGTGTGTGTGTGTGTGTGTGTGTGTATATATATATATATATATATGTTCATTTAAAATTCATAATATTTATAGATATACGTATATCGTTCCAGTATTTCCACATCATTTAAAATCCCTTTTTTTATATAACAATTGCTAATATTTACGGGTTAGTGCCACTAAATGCGACTATTATTGCTGCATTTTAAGTTTATAGAATGATATAAGAATAAAGTACACTTATAATTTATATGCTATGAATGTGTGTTATTTACATATTCAGCTGGACTGTACAATGAGTTTGCCTTACACAAGCGTGCATGAAAAATTTTCTCTGGAAGAACTTCTAATCGTGACGAAAAAAATTAACGGAAATGGAGTCAACATCAATGTGAATATCATGTCTGAAACTTTTCTTTGCTCTGCACGAATGGAGCGTGAATCATATGTATTGTGTAATACAGACATGCGAAGGGGATATTACATGTATAATTTATCACAAATTATCATTCTCTATATTTGTTCACAATTCACAGATTACAATAATTATTCTCCATGTGTTTTTGCAAAATGAATTTCTTATTTTATCCTTTCCAAATATATTTCCTTTCCCATAAAAGCAATTAGTGACTATGTACATAGAAAATTACATATATACATCGCATATAATTTCTAATACTGTTTGCCTATGTTTTGCCTATGAATGATAGAACTTAATATCGACTTTTTTAAAGCGAAAAAGTTTAACGATGGATACAAATTACGTAAATATATGTAAATATGTACATACAAACTTAAAAATTATTAAAGCAAGTTAAGTTTCTAAAATGTAAATGAACGATGAAATGTCATTGTATCAGTTAACAATAAATAAGTTAAGATTGCCCATTTTCTCTGGAAAAATATTTCATTTATTTTGATGTACGTTGTAAGAAGAAATTACGTCTAATTTCTTGCCTCTGATATTATAATTCAATAGAACTGCAGCAAACTAGTCCAGAGCCTTAAGGCTGGAAACGTGTGCCTAACTCGATCATCTTAAATGCGATATCAAAAGCGAGGAAATTGCGAGGAAATATACACGTTAGATCTTAGAGCTTATATCTATATAAAAAACAATAAAACTATTCTAATTTGACAAAGCAAGTCTATTGCTGAAGGACGTTGGTAATTTTCTTCTTTGTACATATCAAATACAATAAAATAGATTTCTATCTATAAAGCACTCAATTATATTTATTATTTGATATTCTAATTTTATCTTTACTGTTATATTTTAATCCTCATGAAGAATGGTGTTCAAGAAAATAATCATACATCAGGCTAGTTAGTTTATTTATATCCTTCGGCAAAATATATTAAATTTTTTAAATTTATATTTTTCTTGAGATTCATTCCACTTGCGAAGATGTGAATTTTTTGCAAGCATTAAGATATACACGCTATATATATAATATTCACATTTTACTTTTTATAAGATTGTTATCAACACTACATAAAATTTTATGTATATATATATATACACAATACACACGTCTAACAAAACGATTGTATAATATTATGATTATATATGAAAAAAATTACTTTGACCATTCTATTGAGTCATTTCTATTAAAAGAAAAGTTTAAAATTGCGAAAATAAAACGTTAAATATATTAAATAATAAATTCCTGAATTTTGTTTATAATATTTAAATTTGGAGATTTTTAGGATTCTTGCTGATTCTTAAAAACAATCGAAATTTTGGAAATTCTTCCACAAGAATTCCTTGCTTTGGTGAGATTCTCTTTCAAATTTTGTGTGAATACTTCTTAAAATCATAAACTCATTCGCAAAAATTTAATTCGCTTGTGATTTTTTTATAGTTATGCGATCTATTCTACATGTTGTACAATTAAGAATTAAGACTAGTCTGTATAATATAATACCGTATCGACATTTTATTCTAATTACAGAATTTCCTGTTTTTACGGTTGCGTTGTGAATAATGATTATCAATACATATAATTGCTCGATACTTTTATATAATGTCACGTAGATATTAAAATATGTACAAACAGATTGCGTTACTCACATTAATATTTAACGATTGGCAAGAAACACTAAAGCTAATAAATCATCTTTAAATAATGCAACAAATAACAAATTCCTAGTATAAAAATATCTCGCTAGACAAAAAAAATTGATATGACATCTTCCCCATCAAATGAATAATGTAAACATAGACGTTTATATCTATTTTCGAAGAAACGAGATTCTCGTTACGTAATTAGTAGTCTTTAATTAGTAGTCTTAGTTCTTTTTAGCCTGAACTTTTTGCACGGTTCTCTTCTTTTCTCTTTTTCTCTTCAACATGAAGAAAAAAGGAAGAAAAATTAATCATGCAAGAATTTTAGCTAAAAAGAATAGACTACTAATAAAAATTATATATGTTAAAATCGCTCCATTCATACCTATCTTCACGATAAGTATATAAATTTGTCCTTTTAAGAAAATACTAATATTTTCAAATTTTTAGAGCTTTTCGATCCCTAGCAAATTTCTTGGGACTTAGATCTCTATATTTCAGGAGTATTATAAAATATCTTTGATCTTTTCCAAGCTCCGTTTAATATTGAGCAGTGGAGCGGAGCAGCGATACAGTCGTGTCTTTTTCATTTAAAAAAAAATAAAATTCATGCGAATATTCTATGCGAATTTAAATTACTCTGTTACATTTTTTTTCTGTAATGTTAAATAGAATCGTACGTGTCTAATGATAGAGAAATTTTTCCAAATGGTTGTATTACACGTAGAAAATAAAATCTGTAAGGTAAAATATACTAATTCGTGGATAGTTAATGAACATAACCAAATTATCGAACGAAATAACAAATTTTAAATATTAAAAATATAATATGTATAATATAATGTAATATTATATTTAATGATATGTACAACTCAAAATAAATTCGTTGTTTATAAAAATTTTAATAGGATCAATTTAGTGTCGTACATATTATCAAAAGAGTAATATATAAAATTTTTGTTATTTCGTCCAATAATTATGTTATATCCACTGAGACTAATAATAAGTGGTACATTTATCTTGTATAAATTTTCTGATTTCGTTTATTGTTATCGTTACCTCTCTGTATAATTTGTCGTTTCCAACAAATGACATATTTGTCAATCACGAATCGATAAGTTTTGCCAATTCCGGTTTGTCGACTAACTTGCGAAGAGACCGGTTTTGGGATAAAAGATAGGGAGAAAGAAAGAGAAAGACAGAGAGGGGGGAGGGAGAGAGAGAGAAAATAATTTTCTATGTGGTCCCGCAGTACGATCATTCTCGGTATTGATCATTCCAGTCGATTCGATCATCAACACTGCGTCTGATCGTACTCGTCGTGGGAGAAATCATCGCCGTCGCCACCGCGTTTGATAAACACCCGTGTGTGATTATTGTTGCCGTGATTGCCCTGCCGGCCCGCGGCGATCACCTGCACGGTCTGCTGTGACTGCTGCAGTTGCTGATCTTCGCTCGCCAATCGCTTATTGCAGTCGTCGTCCCTCGGCACCGCTGCTGCCGGCTGATAGTCACACCTTCTCCTCTCCCGCCATCGGACCTGCGGTCGAGCGGATAAACTGAAACAGTCAACGTTCCATAATGGACTCGACTCGGGCACGCTGCTGTCACTGGCACGATACGGACGGATCATATATATATATTATATATATGTATGTTTCTTTTTCCCTTTTTTTTCCCTTCCCATTTCATTCTCTCTCTTTCTTCCCCTTTTCGTCGATGGTATATGATTAGTAGCCCGTTGCGGCGTCACCTCATTAAAACAGCACTCCACATCACGTGAGTTAGTATGCGTATGGGTTAGTACGCGGGTGGATTAGTGGCAGGAGAGGGACCGATCATGTGTGTTAGTCCGCATCGCACCATTGACGAGTCGTGCATACGGGAATTTCCAATCGGGGGAATATTATTTTCTCTCTTGAGCGTCAAGCGCAGATTAAAATTGCATTAAAATGATATTAAAATTGCAAGAGTGTTCTCTATTACTCTTCCCCATTTATATTAGATAACGTCGAATAGTTACGTTCTAGGATTACTATCATCTTATTAATCTACGAAGTTTACTCGCGACTGAAGAATCAATGGATGATTGAGAGAAATCGATAGAAATTCGTTCTCTTCATATTTGCTTATAAATTTCAAAATCCGTCACTTTGAAATAACTTAATTTTTTTCTATTTAAAATTCAGTTATTTAAATTTTTCATAAGAAAATTTTGTAAAATATATAATAATGAATTTTTTTCTTCCATTCCATATTGGAATAATGTGATAATTCTGTCACTTTAGAATCCTCTTAACAGAATTGAGTATAAGTTAATGTTTATTTTTAACTGAATAAAGTTAAAGTTAATGGCTTTACAAAATTAATAAAGTTAAATTAAAAGTTGAAGGAATAAAAAATTAATTTAACGTAAGTTAAGTTTGTTTTTAAGTCAATATTGAATTAACTTAAATTTAAAAAAAATTAATTTTGAAAAAAATTTTTTAGATCATGTCCTAATTTTTCTTAAATAAGATTAAATAATTATAATATAGATTATTAAGTAAATTAAATTGTTAATTTTTTTATTCATATGTGATATAAGTATATAACACATAACGATATAACTATATAAGTTATATAACTTTAAAAAAGCAGCCAACACATAAAGAAGATACAAGATCAATAATTACTTTTTAATAATTCTTAAGCCATAAGAAATTGATCAATTGAATGCGAGAAGAATATTTGACTGTAATTGGTCAATTTCTTATGACTTAAGGCTTAAAACATCTATTGTAAATCCAGACTAAGGGTTATGGTATAAGACATAACCGCATAAACCAATCAGAAGGCTGTATTAGCATCTTAAACAATTACTTAAGATGATCTTAAAATATAAACAGATTATGAATATACGTCCTTAATCTTATTATATCTTATTATTTTTCTAAGATATTTAAAAGAGATAAAAAAATTGTTTAACTTAAAAAAAAGTAAGAAGTTAACATTTAAAAGTAACTTGGTTAAGTTAAAATTTAATGCATAATTTAAAATTAACTAAGTTAAGTTAAAAGTTATTAGCTTTTTAACTTTTTTTAAAATTCTTTTTAACCTTTAACGTTTTAATTACCCAACCCTGCCTCTTAAATATAATAGAAATTATAACTGAACTATGTATTATTGCCAATGAATTGAAGAGATTAATATAATGACTTGCGTAAAGTATCTAATAGAAAGCTGATAATAATAGGAAGGAATAAAAAGATTCCAAAGGCTCCGGAATTAATCCACAATTTGATAGATAAAAAATTCAATTTCACGAAACGGGTTTTCTGTCACTCTCTCTTAATCCATCTGATTCTTTCCTCGAGTTTTATTTCTCAAAGGGTGTCGTGGCAAAGGAGACAGGAAGCAGGCGTCATTTAAATCGATTCAATCGCAAAAACTCCATACTCTCTGCTCGTCAATATTGCATACCGAGACTGTTGTAGCCGTGCAGGAATTAGCTCGTTTTCGTAAAAGGGCGCTGCCATCCCACTTTCTCTTGAATTGTGCTATTACCTGTATCACACATAATAAAAATATCATTACATAGTTCAAAAGTTATTTTGAAGGTTGAAACGACCGTTTCCGTAGTCATAGGAACTTACCTCGCCGTTGCAAAAGCAAAAAAGCACAGCCACACAGAGACCCTGGAAGAGAGAAATTACATTTTATCTCGGTACATCGAGCTCGAAACGTTTCCGAAGAAAATTCCTGTCAACTTTATTACGATTTCTTTCGCATGAGATACGAAGTTTTCTGATTAACTTGCAAAAATCGTATCACCAATGAGCTATAAAATTTTATTATCCTCCTTCATTACATGCTACGTTATTGTTATGCGAAAGGTTGTAATATTTACATAGTTAGTAAATTCATGTTAAATTTGACATATATCCTAAAATTTGTGTATTATTTAAAAGTCCATCATAATTTTTATATTAATTTAATCCGAGAATGGATATGTCAGGAAATTATATAAACACAAATATTATATAAAAAATTAACAATTAACGCAAATGTAACATTTTGACATATTTGGGAAAAAATTGAAAAAATTGGGAGGCACGTTCCTTTAATAAAATTATATTCATAATATATATAAATTAATAT